GCCAAGCGCACAAATTGTTCGTCCCGTCACTTGCTATTATAAAAAAAGTCAAGTCTTACTGATGATGGTTGTTCAAAAAAGTATGCATAAAGTTGCAGTATATATTCCTTACGCTTGCAACTACTGCATTGTATCAGTACACTAAGAGTAATTTGTACAATATCTTGTTGTTTCCATTTAATAGCCACCAAACACTAAAACAGTTTAACACCATCGCCATTTTAGTTTCCTACGCTTGTGTGGTGACCATACTTTCAAAATATTTAAAAATGCTTTGCGTGTTTGAGTATCCAGTTAGTTAATATTAAATATCTAGGCCAATAAAAATCCAGTGGACAATAAAATCCAATATCGTTTTTAAACACACCCTACATGAACAAAGAATTATATTAAATTGACTCTCTTGGTGTCATGGGAACGTACAATTAATTATTTTGTTTTATTATTTCACAAAATATTACAATATTTAAAACATCTCAAAACTCCACTCGACTTGTAATAAGCAAAGACCGAAGTTTCTGGAAACGTAGGACGTCCTCAGAGCGACTTATTAGCCAACACACGAGGAACACGGTCTCGAAATTAGCTATCCCCGTTTACTATTCCTTATAACCATCTATCTCTATACGACATTGCTCTCTAAAATATGAGAGACTTTTATAGCCCCTTACTACACTGTTTAATTTTGCAACACTTGCGAAACCAAGTCAAGCCTGTTAGGGAATAAACTTGGCTCTTTTATTATACATTTGTAGTCCTGTAATTTTAGAAGGCTTTAAGTTATTATGAAAGCATGTAAAATTGTAGTTAATCAATGCTAATTTGACCGAGGCAAATATGTTTCAATAACACAAACATGTACGTAAAGGTTGCTTTATTCAAACTATTAGGCGTAGGCGTCTACGCCAGAAATAACCTCTACGTCGTAGCACTTTATTGGTTATGATTTGCAAACGATCGAACTGGAGTACTTGCCCACTTACGTAACATTATTATATGACTGCACATCTTTAACAACACACTGTTAAGAGAACGGTATTATTACAAAAACTTTGGGCAGTAAATACAAGGGAAATCTCACATATGGAATAAGTCCAAGAACTTGTTGTCATTCAGCCGCATTTGCTAATCATGGTGGGTTTTACGAGTAGTTCGAGATAGAGTGGAATCGGAATAAGGATGTCATATAAATAATACGGTTCTATATTCAACTTCTGAGTGCTTACGAAAATTCAGGTAATATTTTAAGACTACTTACATATGTATGATTTACGATACATGTCGAGGTAAATATTACCGTCACTAAAACATTTCTAGGGAAGTGAATAAAAAGTAAAGCCGCGACAGACTGGGTCACACGCGAAATTGCCGATATTTCTCAAATACGAAGTCTCCTTAATAGGTACTTTCCAACTAGAAGGTAAGCTACTAACTTGTTAATCTTTTCCCATTATGTTCTGCGGCCGCACGCCGCAGTTCACCAACAGTTACATTATACTTTTAGTTAAGGTAAAACGAAAATACCGGGATGTAGCTAATCCTAAACTTTGTTCCCTGCACCGGGGGTGTGATTAGCAATAAATCACGTATAAACCAAACCGACGAAGGAATTTCAAGACACATGAATACGTTTTAAGTATTGGTTCAAACTGAAATCTTATATGCCCGCTCTTATACTTGTAACCATATATATCATCTTCATCGTATACCGCCCACTGATGAGGACTGATCTCCTCTCAAAATGATGAAGGCCTTGGTACGTAGGGACTTCACACGTTTTTTAGGAACGTGAACCTTAATGTGCGGGTATTTTATAAGACCAAGTGACGGACAAACAAATCGCCCACCTGGTGATAACTGTGCAGGGTACAACCTGAGACATAAGTTGACAAATCCTATGTGCCTGTAATTTCACCAGCACCCTTACCCTTCGAAACCGGAACGTAGTAATGCTCAGATTACTGCTTGGTGGCAGAAATAGGCAAGGTGGTCATACTTGCCTGGGCGAACTTCGTTAAATTCGTTCGTTCGTTAGCGAGAATCGCGTTTAAACATTCAGCATGCTGGTTTCAGAGTAGAGCGGATTTATCTGCGGACTGTCCGCATGGAGCACCGGAACGAAATAACATGTGTGGCGTTAGAACATAACTGTACAGTGACGCAGAATGCTCCGTACGGAACACAAACTACCCGTGCGTTCATTGTAGGCGACTGTCTTCCGTGGATAAATACTCAATTCAGAGCACTGCAAATTCTTCGCATGCGGATGGCCCGCAGGCGGACAGTCTTTACGGACTGTTTATACATACCGTTCATACATACTTATATATGTAGTTTTTTGTTTATATATATGTATCTTAACTGCCTCCGTGGCCGAACGGTTATATTGTGTGTGTGCGTTATTATTATTATTAAAATGGGTCAGCTGGCAAACACAATCGATTAATTTCTTTCTTCCAGCTAAGGGATACGGAGCGTTAAACCATAGACAAATTGAAAGTATAGCATCAAAGTGGCAACTTCAAATGTATCATAAGAAATTTACGAGATCCGCAGCATTCGTCTGACGTAATTTACGCTTCCCCCGCGTCGCGTTTTCTCTAATATGTTATATTGCAAAAACGTAAAACAAATAAGGGCGCACAAGTAATATCATGTATCCAATAATATGTCTTTTAAGAGTCCTTGAGATAGAGAAAGGAAAACTTAGGACATACAAGGAGGGTGAATGAAAGACGATTGCCGAAACATTATAAAAGGTGAGTGTGAGAGAGCAAGTTAAGGGTAAAGGCTGACCAAGGCGAACATATTACGACCAAATTGAGGACGTCCTAAAGAAAGGCCAGGTCAAGAATTTTTTAACCGACGAGGGTATGTGAACGGAATAATGTGTTGTGACAGAACACACATTTCGCAAATTCCTAAAAATGACGTGGCAAAAACTTTATAAATAAAATATATAATTGTATTAGCATAGTAGGTAATTTCTTAAACCATATTTAAAAGTAAATATACAATAAATCTCACAGTAAATGTTTTCTTCGAATTTGTTTCACTAACAACAAGGAACAAAGGGCTTATTTATTAGACATTCAATTTTGTTTACGTACAAATTTGTCGGTATTGCTGAAGTGTAGTTTAGGCCAGGGGTTTAAAACTTTTGGTAACTAATGAATTTAAAGTATTTAATAATACTATAATATTACTAGTACATCAAATAAATATAATTATTAATGCTAAAGTATACTATGTACTATATTACAAATAAATAATATGCTAAAGTGAAATTAGATTTACTGAAAGTAAGAAATTTAGATTCGGAAATAATACAAAAGTAATTTACATTTAATTTTGTGCACACCATTTTTACTATTTATTCATATTCATTAGAAGGAGAACACAAGCGGAAACTTCTATTTTATTCTGAAGGAAGTTTCTTCAAGTTTTCTCAAGTTTCTTCAAGTACAGTCACCACCACCACAAAGTTTAGAATATTAGGACAAAATAGATATTAACTTGAGTAAATTAAATATTCAATTTACTTAATTCGGTAACTTTATGAATTTCAATGTCGAGTTCATAATTACTCATGCCTCTAGGACATTATGAATAGTTAGAACACCAAGAATGATTGCAAGTTTATTTTATCAAGCGAACATTCCGAAGGTGTCCATACATTAAACAATGTTTTGTTTTACTTAGTTTATTAGCAATGTTATATTACAGATGAAATTAACGTGGATTAATGAGGAAATAATAAAGCACGGCACGTATCACATAGACATAGTTGTATATTTTTTTGTCAACAGTTTCTCATTGCTATGACAACCAATTCAAATCTTATGGAACTAGATTATAATAGCCAGTATCTCCAACACGCCCCTTTAATCTAGTACACAAAACATTTCAACATAAGCAATACAACATTAATAAAAATTTAAACAGTATTTCATTACAACCCAGGAAAGACTCTACTCACTCGTCCCCTTAACAGAATATATATTTAAAGAAAACTGTCCTAAAAATTCTTTAAGTTTTGGGCCATGTACAGCCTTGGTTAAAACATCTGCTATCATTTTATCGGTTGGCATGTACCTGATCTCAACCTTGTTACTCAGAACACATTCCCGTATAAAATGATATTTGATGTTTATATGCTTTGTTCTGTTATGCATCATTTTGTTAGTCGCAATTTTATGCGCAGACTGGTTGTCATTATAAATGACGACCGCTTTACTATCCACAATCGTAAGACTGTTCAATAAACTTTGTAAATAAAGTGCTTCCTTTGAAGCTTGACTAAGTCCTACGTTTTCTGCCTCCGTGGAAGACAAAGATACAGTTCCCTGTTTCCTGCACGTTACGACATTTTTCCCAAATTTGAAAATTAGCCCAGTGAAAGACTTCCTATCAAGCGCTCCACCCCAATCTGCATCTACGTAGCCACGCAAGTTTAAATCTCCCGATTTTTTAAAAGTAAGGCAATAGTTAAACGTACCCTTTAAATACCTAAGTATTCGCTTTGCACATTTAAAATGTGTTTCACCATAACACGAGTTCAACTGTGAAAGTTTACTTACAGCATGTGCAATGTCCGGTCTCCGTGTGCAGTTGCTGGTCTGCCATCGGACGCGTCCCCAGGTGGCGGATAGGGGAACGGCTCCCAGATATGGGAGCTACCGGCTTCGGCCGGCGCGGACCAAAACCAGCACCGGGAGGGGAGGAAGATAGCGTTGGTTCCGTCCGGCGCTATCGAACTCGTAACCGAGACGGTGGGCGGTGCTCGGTCTCAGAACCGGCTCCGGCCAACCCGTAATCCCACATGGAGTGTGACCGGGGGTCCTCCTCACTGAGAGGAGGGCTGCGAGGAAGAAAACCTCTATAAAAAATCACCCCAATCCCAAGTTCTAGCGCCCGGCGATGGGGTGAATGGCTGGTGGGTGTCCAGTCATCAGGGCGCACCAGTGGGGAGCTCACCCTCTTTCAAAGCAAGCATAAATATGGAACAGGCACGTTTTAAAAATGGTCCCCAGGCGGGTCCCCGAAAGGGGGAATCCCGCCCATCCGCTTCGGCGGATGGCAGCCCCTCGTACTCTGGGGGGGGCAAAAACTGCCTCGTGGGTCGGCCGGAAGTCGACCCTCGTGAACACGACAAACGCACACCAATAACGGACAACGATTTTGCACACGACACGGTAAATACGGACGATGGCACGAGTGCCTCCAATGTGGTGGTGAGCATTCTCTCCGACAATGAGTCGGAGGGTGAGACGATGCTCTCGGCCCTTTCGGACGGAGAGGCCACCCTCTCTGAGGGGAACTCACGCGTGGTTTCGCGCTCCAGGTCAGCCGGAGAGAAGGGATCCTCAAGGGCTCCCAAGCGCGCCGCCCCCCCGTCGAACGAATCTATGGAGCCCGAAAGGGCTCCAAAGATTAGCACGGCCCGTAGGGGCAGACCTAGAGGCCCCGGGAAGTCCTTCCCCGGTGCGGCAACGGCAGGGAGGGGGCGCTCTAGCTCGTCAGAGTGGAACGCCCTCCAGAAGGATGCGGACGCGGCCTTCTTCAAGGAGGCCCTGGGCCGGGGTCAGGCCGGAGAGGCTGAACCCGATGGCATGGCGGGCCTCATGCGAGAGACCCTGGCCCAGGAGGCACGAGACGGCCTCGCAGCAATATTGGCGGAGACCGCCAAGTCCTCTAACCTCAAGGGGACGGTGGTCAAAGCCATAAAAGAGGCCGTCAGGAAGGTGGAAGGAGCCGTCAATTTCCTTCACCGTGGAGAGACGGCGACAGAGGCGGCGCGGCGGATGTCGGAAGACAACCGCCGGATGAGGGGGCAGCTCGCTGCTCTGGAAACGGAGATGAAGGCCCTGAGGGGGGCCTACTCCGCTGCTATGGCCAAGGCCAAGGCACAGGTGGCCGCACCGCCGTGCAGCTCCGCGGAGATGCACGCGGGAGTGAGGGAGGCCATCGACGATCTCAGGCGGGATATCTTCTCCTCGATGAGGAATATGATCGACGCCCGCCTGGGGGACATCGAAAGACGCCTCCCTGCGGAGTACCTACGCCCCCCCCCTGGGCGGCAGAACAGGGGCACCCGCCCCCGAGGCGACGCCTGCCGTCACCGCAGTCACCCCGAGGTTGCTCCCCTCCGCCGCGGCCCCCGAGTCGACACCGGGCCCCTCACTGGCTCGAAACGCGCCTGCCGGCCAGCGGCCCAGCAAGAAGGCCAAGAGGAAGGCTCCCCCGCGGAAGGTGACTGCTGCCCCTCCTGCGGCGCCCACCGCCGTTCTCGCCGTCCTTACCGCCCCTGACGCGACGGCCTCCACGCCGACTGACCAGGCGGAAACGCCCTGGTCACAGGTAGTCGGCCGCAAGGCCAGAAAGGCCAAAACGGCAGCTGCCGCCCCCCCAAGCGGCACGGGCCCCCGCCAAGGCGGCCCCTAAGACGGCTCCCAGACCCAGGGCTCTCGCCACCCCAAGATCATCGGCGGTGGTGATCACGCTGAGGCCCGAAGCGGTGGCGGAAAAGGGGGCCACTTACAAGGTGGTCCTTGAGGCGGCGACCGCTGCGGTCGATTTGGGCAGCCTCGGCATCCCACACGTGCGGGTGCGGAATACCCAGACGGGTGCCCGCATAGTCGAGGTGCCCGGGGCGACCAGCGCCGAGAAGGCCGACACCCTGGCGGCCAAGCTGGAGGAGGCGATCGGGGGGCTGGCGACAGTAACGCGGCCTACCAAAACCGCCGATCTAAGGGTCACCGGTTTTGACGAGTCAGTGACCCCGGAGAAGATCCGGGTGGTGGTGGCCGCGAAGGGCCAATGCCCCCAGTCCGCCGTGAGCGTGGGAGCCGTCAGACTGGCCCCCAACGGGAGGGGGTCAGCCCTCGTCCGCTGCCCGGTGACGGCAGCCCAACGGGTGGCGGCTGCCGGCCGCATATTGGTGGGGTGGTCCTCCGCCGGGGTCCATGTGATGGAGCCCCTCCCCATGCGCTGTTTCAGGTGCATGGGGATTGGTCACACCAGAGCCCTCTGCCCGTCCAGTGTAGACAGGAGCGCGCTCTGCTTCAGGTGTGGCCAGGTGGGACACTCGGCCTCCGGGTGCACGGCGACCCCGCGGTGCTCGGTCTGCACCGCGGCTCGCCGTCCAGCGGACCACGTGATGGGGGGGCGATCTTGCGCTCCCTCCCCCACCAAGGGCAAGTCGGCGGGGACCCCAGGCCCCCCCCCTATTGAGGGACAAAGTATGGAGCAGTAATGCCAGCACGCCACCATATTATACTGCAGGGCAACCTCAACCACTGCGCCAGGGCACAGGACCTATTGGTCCAAGCCATAGCGGAGTGGGGGGTTGCGGTGGCTGCTGTGGCGGAGCCATACTTTGTCCCCCCGCGGGGGAATTGGGCGGGGGATCGGGAGGAGACGGTGGCCATAGTGGCGTCGACTGCCGGACACTCCCCCCTCTAGTGGTGAAGGAACGCGGGTCAGGATTCGTGGCGGCGAGGTGGGGAGAAGTCATCCTAATTGGGGTGTACTTCTCTCCAAACCGCACCCTAGCCCAATTCCAGGCGTTCCTGGAGACCCTAAAGAGGGCGGTGAGGAGGGCAGCTCCGACGCCGGTGTTGGTGCTGGGGGACTTCAACGCCAAGAGCGCGGCGTGGGGTTCTCCGGTCACCAATACCAGGGGGCCAGAGTTGGAAAATTGGGCGGCAGTCCTAGGGCTAGCCATCCTCAACCGGGGCCATGCCAACACGTGCGTTCGGCGAAATGGGGGGTCAATCGTGGACGTCACGTTTGCGACCCCCTCATTAGCCGCGCGAGTATCAGGCTGGAAGGTCCTGGAGGACGAGGAGACCCTCTCCGATCATAAATATATACGGATGAGGGTCTCCCATACGCCGCCCACGACGGCCTCCAACACGGCCCCCGGGGGGGGCTTTCCCAAATGGGCACTCACCCGCCTGGACCTTGAGCTCGCAGAGGAAGCAGCCATGGTCCAGGCGGGGTGCCCCCCCCCCACCGGCCACCGTCGACGTGGAGCAGAGGGCGGTCAAGTTCAGGGAAGACTTGACCGCCGTCTGCGAGCGGGCCATGCCCAGGGTCAGAGGGACCCCGGGCAAAAAGAGTGTGTACTGGTGGACCGCGGAGATTGGGGACCTCCGCACCGCCAGTACCACGGCCCGGCGGGCCTACGACCGATGCCGCCGCAGGCGCCACACCCAAAGTGAGGAGAGAAGGCTCCACAGCGCCCTTCAGGCCGCGAGGCAGGCCCTGAAGGTCGCAATAGGGCGGGCCAAGGACTCCGCGAAAGAGGAGTTCTTGGCCACCCTGGACGCGGAGGCCGTACAAAATTGTGCGCAACAAAATGTACGGCGCATCTCCCATGGAGTCACTGGAGCTGAATCTCCTCAACCGGGTGGTGGAGGGCCTTTTCCCCGAACCGCAGCCCTTCACCCCACCGGCCATGGTGCCCCCCAGAGCAGACGGGGGGGCAGACTGAGGAACCCCCCCCGGAAATCTCCGAGGGGGAGTTGGAGTGGGCGGTGGGACGGCTGCGGGGGCGGAAGAAGGCTCCCGGCCCGGACGGGGTACCGGGACGAGTCCTTCGCGTTGCCCTGAAGCATCTCGGGACCCGCCTCAAGCATCTCATGGATGACTGTTTGAGGACGGGGTTGTTCCCGAGATGCTGGAAGGAGGGAAGGCTCGTCCTGGTGCTGCAAGCCGGGCCGACCTGCGGACTCCCCCTCGGGGTTCAGGCCCCTCGTCCTGCTGGACGAGGTGGCGAAGATCCTGGAGCGAATCATCGCCTCCAGGATCAACGAACACTTGAGGGGGACAGGCCCCTATGTGTCGCAGCGGCAGTACGGGTTCAGGGCAGGACTCTCCACCCTGGACGCCCTGGAGTCGCTGCGACACATCGTGGAGGAGGGTAACGGCGAGAGGGAAGGCGTGGTGGCTGTGTCGTTGGACATAGCCAACGCCTTCGGCACTCTCCCCTTCGCCGTTATCAGGGAGGCGCTGAGGTACCATAATATCCCCAGGTACCTCAGCCGTCTGGTGGAGCACTACCTGGAGGACAGGGTGGTGCTCTACCAGACGAGGGAAGGGAGGCGCGCCGAGCGCCCAATGAGGTGCGGAGTACCCCAGGGGTCCGTATTAGGACCACTACTGTGGAACCTGGGGTACGATTGGGTGCTGAGGGGCGCGCTGCTCCCCCGGACGGCGGTCATCGCGTACGCCGATGACACGCTGGTGGCCGTCCGGGGGACCACCTTCCAGGAGGCGGCCCGAAGAGCCTCAGTAGCGGCGGACATGGTGGTCCGCCGAATACAACTGCTGGGGCTCGAGGTCGCCGTGCCGAAGACGGATGTGGCCGTCTTCGGCGGGAGGGGTAGAGGTTGGGCGGTGCCGGCAGGCGCCCACATCTCCATCGCGGGAGTATCGGTCCCGGTCAAGTCCCAGATGAAATATCTGGGACTTGTCCTAGACCGGCGATGGAACTTCGGGGAGCATTTTCGGCAACTTGCTCCCCGAATAGTGGGCGCCGCATCGGCGTTGGGCAGGCTCCTGCCCAACCTCGGGAGGCCGGGAGCCCCATGCAGAAGGCTATACGCCGGGGTGACCCGGAGTATGGCCTTATACGGGGCTCCCATTTGGAGTGGGGCCTTATCAGCGGCGACGAAGTCGCTGCTGAGGAGGCCCCAGAGGGTCGGTCGCCCTGCGAATGTGCAGGGCGTACATGACGGTGGCCTGCGCTGCCGCATGCGTCCTCGCCGGTACTCCGCCGTGGGACCTCGAAGCCGAGGTCCTGGCGGAGGTCCGCACCTACCGGCGGGGAATGAGGGACCGAGGCGAGCGACCCGCTCCCCAAGAGGTGGAGCGGGAGCGCCGCCTCGCGGCGCAGCGCATGCGGGACCGGTGGAAAGAGGGCTTGGCGGATCCCCCCTATGGTGCTCGTACCATAGAGGCGATTCGCCCTGTCCTCGTAGAGTGGGTAAACCGGTCCCACGGGCCACTGTCGTACCACCTTGTGCAGGTGCTGACCGGGCACGGTTGCTTCGGTCACTACCTGCACAAGGTGGCGAGGAGGGAACCGTCCCCGTCGTGCCACGAGTGCGGCGCTGCGGATGACACCGCGCAGCACACCCTAGAGGTGTGTAGCCGGTGGGATGAGCAGCGCCGCACTCTGACGGGGACTATAGGGCAGGACCTCTCGTTGCCGAGCGTGGTTGCCGCCATGCTCGATAGCGAGGAGTCCTGGGA